GCCCGGCGCTGCGCTGCTTTCGTGCGGCCCGCGTCCTCTCCATTGGCGGCCTGGAGCCCGGCTCTCCACCCCTCCCGTGGGTGCGGGAGGCGGACCGAAAGCCGGGGTGCTCGCTCTCCAAGCAAGCCTCGCAAACCCGTGCGCGGCGACAGGGCTTTGTTGCGGGGGAAGCACCCTGAAGCAAGTAAGACCCGAGGCGCTTGGGTACCTCGAGGGCCTTACTTTGCTGTTGAAACCAGAGGCGGCTGGGGTTAGCGCGAGTTCAGAAGTTTTATTGATTAATATTGTAATAATTTTGTTGGGATGTGCTGGGGAAACTTTCCTTTCATCTAGAGTTTTCGATGGGAACTGCGCTATGATGGTGATGATTTGGGGCGGCGGAGGGGAAGCGGTTCCGATCGCCCGCCTACCCTCTCCCTCCTCCCTGTCCCACCTTAAACTGCAACTGCTTAGAAGAGGCACGCAGGAGTTAAAGGCCGCCCCACAGGTTTCTGACACCTGACTGTCTCTGTTGAAGCAGATGCTGGCATGTGACTTCAGAACCTGGAAATGTGTAGGTATCCCGCGAGTTCAAAGCATGCCGCGTCTGAAGCCCCAGAGCTTCGAAGACATTTCCCTCCTGCTCAGTTTCATCTCTGGCCTACGGGCCGCAGGATGCGAGTGGAGGGGCGAGGGTCAGCTGGGTCCCCAGCTCCCACTCTCACGAAGACGCGTGGGCAGTCCAGGACACAGGGAACCCTTGTGACTTAAGTGGCCATTGTTTTGTGTCCTCATTTAATTTTCTGTAGCTGAGATCGCGGCCTTCCTTTTTCTTCTCTTTCCCTCTGACAGTTCCTCCTGTCTCCTGCTGGGCCTGCAGAGGGCTTAGGTGGGCACTTGTGATCAACATGGCCGGCTGGCCGGCCGCAGTCCCAGGCACCCACCCGCTGCGACCGGGATCCCCGGGCTGGGTTTCTGCCTCCTTGGGCTTTCGAGTGCCGGCAGAGGTGCTAAATTAGGCACTTCCCCACTGTACGCTGGCTCAGGCGTCTGGAGTTGCCTCCTGCCTTCGCCCAGATCTTCGGCACTGCAAGCCATGGGCCATTTTCTGCTCAGTGTTGTATTTCCAGAGATATGTGTAGCAGGAGAAACACGACTAGTGTGCGGGCTGGCCCCGGGATCTTGAGAGGCAGACTCTTGGGGTGTCCAAACACGCATCCTCAGCCCCCTTTCGGGACCCTAGAGCATCCCACAGCCAGGAGGTCCATCTGAGTTACTACTTGAAAGATAAACAATGAATAAAACTTCACAAAGTTGGCATATTCAAATTAATTTCACTTGTTTTAATTTAGGGTTGATCTGGATAGAGAAAAACAATTTCTTCTGCTCACTTTGTTTTTTTAAACTACAAGAACAAATTATAGCGATTAAGTCTGATTTGAACATTTCAAACTTGAAATGAAGGGAGGCATAGGTAGTATGTGAATTCCATAACCTTATGGTGGACTCCCGAAACCATTTTCTCTTCCATTTAATTTTCAGTTCTTTTATTGCAAATTAATGCCACTGAATTTCAATGGACACTAATGAGACTGCTCCTTGAAAGATTATTTACTGCCGTGGTAATAATTACAAAGTGAGCATGGTCAAATAAAGAGGGGATCACATTTTATTCAAAAGTGTTCATCATTCCAGTGGCAAATAATATCACCATAATGTGCCCCATCTTAAACTTTTGCATTAAATGATATTCAAATACTTTTAGAATAATAAAAAAAGACATGAACTTTAAAAACTGAAGTAGAAGAACTCACAAAAGTGGAATTCTGTGTGGAAATTCTATTTTAGAATGATACTTTTTCCTGTCTAGTTTATTTCCTATAACATCCTGCTCTTTGGTTAGAATGGTGCCTTTTTTTTTAAGCGGGAGGAAGGGATACATCTATGCAAGTATTTCAAATGGGCAGATGCTATTTGATATTTTTTCTTCTCAGTTTTCCTGTTTAAGTAACTCTGGATAAAAAAGATAACAATTGAGTAGGGTCTTTTAAAAATCTTTGTTTCGCTAAGTAGTTCTCAAATGTAGTGGGGCTCAAAGTGGTGTTTCCAACTGCTTATGGTGACCTAGAAGATCAAGAAATCAGTTTACTGAGTCTAGAACATTTCTTTTAAAAAAAAAGAAACAAAGCAGAAAAAAATAATAGAAAATATGAGAGTGTGTGATATTTAGTAAGGTTAAGTTTTGTTTCTTGAAAATTTCTTTTACTTTTGTGTGCTTGTGCCGATTGTGACATAAGATGTATTTCTTACTGTGCATTGAGGTAAAAAAAGTTTGAATGATACTAAAATGTGCTCAGTAGAACACACAAAACTCAAGCAAGTGGCTTTGGTTTTATCTACATGAAGCAAAAAGCTAATATGATCACCTGTATTTTTCCCTTATACATTAGGCTGCTGTCCTTAGATCAGTTATAAAAGCTTTCCTATTCCTGAATTTTAAGTTTTCCACTTGTAGAAGGGTCCTATTGAGTGGATTTTCCACATGAATGTACCACTGTAGTATTCAAAGAACTGTGTAAAGTTCATATTATTTAGTATTAAGATGCGATAGTTATTTTCTTCCTTTGACTGCAATATGCAGCCATATTTTTGTATGAAAAAAGTAACGCGTGAAACTGCTCAGGGCATATGATACTACAGGAATTGCCACATATCCCAACAAACTGTTACTAAGAGATAACAAATTTGTTGGTTGGCACTGTGATTTTACAAGATTTTTCTTAACTAAAATTTCATGATGGAGGCACTTGGGAGTTAGTTTATGCTGGGTTCCTTTCTAGGGCTCAACTTAGAGGCTTGAATTAAACTAAAGTCAAAACAGTTATATTGACAAATTTTATAAATTTAACGTAACTATTTAATGCTGCATGCTTACTTCAGTTTTATCACTCAGTATTTCTAAAGGCTGAACATTGACTCCTTCTCAAAAAAAAACTCAACAAACAAGGATGTAAGCCTTCTAAATCACAGTCAACGCCCTGGTAATTTGTGTGCTGGCTATCTGCATACTTTGGACAACTAGTTTGTCCATGGTGATCATTTAGAGCTATTTCTCAACTTTGAACAGAGGTTCATTTCCAGGCAGAGATTTGAGTGGCTCACGTTCAAGTTTCCAGTAATTCTTTCCTTGTACTTGAATGATGTTAAAGCCCCTTTTCTTTCTGTTCTTTTTCACCCATTTAAATTGTAACTGATTACCTGACACTGTGCTGGTCTAAGAATACTCCAAAGAGCCACATACTACCTAGAGAATGAGTGTACGTTCGGAGGAAAACAGAATCACATCTCGTCTCCCGTCCATTTTCACCTTCTCCGTGTGGCTTGTACCTGTTTGGTAGAAAGCTTCTGAAGGATAATTGCCACTTCTTCTAATCCTTCTCACACTGTTAATTTGGATCCTTGGCTATTATTATTTGTTCTTTGCTTTTGCGAATATATTTAAGCTATGCCACATAATTTGAGAAAAGTCAGGTTGATGATTTTGGTTTCCTATACTTTTAAAGATGAAAAAAAAAAACAGGAACAAGAAATTGTGAATGGCAATAATGGTAACAGCAAAAACTATAAACTTCCTGTTAATAATAAGAAAATAGTAAATTTATCAAGGGAGGTTGGATATGTGAAAGCGTTATGTAAGGTATACAGACACTAGATATTTTTATTACTTTACCCATGTATTAATATTTATTTTGGTGCTTTTGTGAACTAAAAAATAGGAAGGAAAAGCAGATTTAAGTGGCCAAGACTTATGTAGTGGATACAAAATGATGAGAATGGAAATCTTTTTCTTGAGAAGCCGTATTTGGATAACATCTTCATTACCATGTGAAACGTTGGTTGGCAGCCTGGGTTGTTATAAAGAACATTCACAGATATACTTTTAGAACGTCAATGCCTGACAGATTATGTGAAAATGATTTTACATAAAACCATACATAAATCTTAATTATATTTCTCTCCACTCCATACTTGACTTAAAATTAATACATCTCACACCTCTCCGTGATGTCAATATTATTTTTAGTGTAACTTTGGAAGTTCCTAGCTGAGACAGAGCAGCATGCCGTGTGCATTCTTTTCTGAGACCGAATGGAGAGGAGCAGGTTAGTCTTTCAGTTTAATGCTTTGATTATCTGAGAAGGAAAACACAGAATGCCTATACTTACTTAGAACCCAAATGTGTACTGCTGGGAAAGATGCTATATAAATCCAAAATACATAGCTACTTACACACCCACTAACCAAAGTGAAAGCATAAGAGATTTCACAGAAAACAGCCCGTTTATCAAAGTAATGGAGGGGTTTTCTTTCATATTTTAAACTCGGCTAGTGAATTGATGGGCGATATAATTTTTTTTTTGAAAAATAGAAGCATTTCTGAATTGTTCCCTTCTTTACCCCTAAAACACCTTCACCCTGTCTTCTGAAATCAGAGAGCCTATGTGGGTTGGAGGTCCAGGTTAACACTTTTATAATATTCTTGGTCTAGTGGGGGGAGAAATCACAATTGCTGAGTCTTTTGCCTTGGAGAATAGCATTAGGAATTATGAGGAAAGTTTTGTGTTAATCAACAACATCTTAAATTCTGTGTAAACACATGGATGATAGAAAGATAGCCATTTTGATCCCCACAGAGAAAATTTTATGTAATTCGATAAAGTAGGGATTATAAGGGTCTTACTTAAATAAAAAATGTGGTATGGCTGCCACCTCTGAGTGTGTTGTGGCATGGTGCTGGCAGTCCAGGAGTGAGTAGACGATGATGATGGTGGTGATGACAGTGACAATCTTGATGGCAGCGAATGCTGGGCCCATTTCGGCTTGGTAGTATTTCTGGATGCCTATTTTTATAA